ATCGTTGTTTTCCTCCCTTTCTCCTCCCTTTTTTTTTAGAGTGTACAGGACATGCGGCTATGGCTGCCTCCACGCAGAACTGCACAAACCTGCCTATATATATACATATATATATTAACAAAGGGGTGTCTGTACAACGATTAAGCTCAAATTAGTCTCTAAATAGAAAAGCGTGGCGCATCATGTGTTTTTTTGTTTTTTTTGCCGAACAACAAGGACGTTTTTTCTCTTTTATTTTTTTCTTTTATCAGTCGTAATGGGCCGCGCTTGCAACGGTTATATACAGTCTATTTCTTTTTCGCGGTGGCCGCCATGTTGAATTCTGTCGAAGCTGAGTCGGGCCAAAATATCAAATCTTTTTATTGGCCGATTGGAAGGCACTAGAATTCGAGGTGCTCGTGCCACTAGTTCTACTTTTCCCTTAGCTATTTTTTTTTTGTATTGTAGTTATCCTTAAACTATTTACTCCAGTTTCGTCGCCCGACCCAACTACGTCATATTCCAACGTGGCAACCGTCACACGAAAACGGACTGTATAGGGAGATCGTTATTGCGGATGGAGTCTGCGACGTTTGTCATGAGCTGTTTAGAGGGACAAGCATTTTCCCAGACCCTTTAGTTTTTTATTATTCGCCCAGGGGGCGATAAACCACGAGAAAAACATTTCAGAATTTGCGGCACAAACAATTAAACGAGACAAGGCATTCCAACCCTTAATAAATTTTACAAAAAAAAAAGGTTTTTGCCCAATTCTGTTTTGGTACTAAATTCCCGTATTTTATGTATGTAATCTTTTCTTTTGGATACGTAATTTGGAGATAATGAAGAGGATGAGCTATTAATGCCCGCTGTATTATGATACATTCTATATAAAAACTTCAAGTTCAAATATTTTCGTCGTTGTGCCAATGGGTGTCATCCTAACTTTTTAATCACGTTGGTGACACTCTCAAAGCGGTCGTACCGCGTCAGGACGAAACAAGCTGCACGATTCTGAATTCGGGTGCAACAACTTGGTTTCGCCCTGAAGGGTCCCAGACGGTGCAGGCATACTCCAAAACTGGTCGTACATAGCTAAGGTATGCGAGTTCCTTAATAGTTTTAGTGGACTTTTTTTTTTTTAATTTCGGTTAAAAAAATCTAAGCCGGCCCTTATTACAACATCGTCAATGTGAGCGTTCCAAGTGCAGTCAGTTGATAGCGTGACACCTATATATTTACAGCTTCGTTCTTGGGTGCAACTTCCTCATTCAACTTATAACAAGTTTCAATTTTCAGTGGTTTTGCGGATAAAACTAAAACTAAACATTAAGCTCCATCTTCCACTTTTTGCGCCATTCAGGGGTGCAACTAAAACTCTTAAAACTGCGGTGCGTTAGGGAACGTCGGTCAGATTGGTACGAACCTTCAACCCTCTAAAACAATGCCGCAGATACCGCAGAGCCGCAAATCTGGATTGGATTGTGATGGCCAAACCCAACTGGATTCCCACAGTTGCTAGACGAAAACGAAAACTGTTTCAAAAACCAATTCGTTCGCAGGTTTGTTCGCCTTGGCGCCGTTTGGCGCAATTACTCCATTTGGGTGCCGCAAGGCGTAAACAAGCAGGAATTTATCAAAACCACGCAAATTGTGCAATTGGACTACCCCTGACCATTGCTCTATTCAATTCAGGTCAGCCTGCAATCGTGTGCGACTCTCCTCGTCTGTTATACATGTGTAAACGACACAATCATCTGCAAGCAATCGTACTTTCGAATTCAAACCATCATTAATATCATTAACAAATATAAAAAAATAACAACGGTCTCAAAACAGTGCCTTGCGGAACGCAAGATGTTACCTCAATAAAAATAGAAGTTTCACCATTCAAAAGAACATATTGAGGACGTGATGATAGATGTGCTTGTATCCACTTAAGTATGACAGTGTGTAGGTTGAGGAGCTCTAATTTGTGTGATAACTGTGTGTGACACTGTGTCAAATGTTTTCTTATAACCTAAGAACGCACAGTCAATCTATGCGCCTCCGTCAACATTCGTAATTAAATCGTTATATAGCTCGGTCAGTTGTGCAATGCAAGAATATCCCTTTCGAAACCCTTGTTGTGACTCAATGAAAAAATGTTTAAAGTTAAGATTATTTATGATGTTAGAAAATAAAACATGCTCCAGTAGTTTACAACAAATAGACGTTAGTGAAATAGGCCTGTAATTTGTAAATTCTCTTTTAGGCTCTTTCTTGTGCACAAGCACCACGGGTGCCACTTTCCGGTCGTCTGCCCTAAAGAAGAATCATTCAACAATTTATTATATATTATAAAAAATGTAGGGGCCAATTGAGTCTGCACAAAGTTTTAATATCCTTGGTGATATCCAATCTGGGCCTAATGCTATAGTTTATGCAATATTTTTTTAGAACTCACAACACACCTCCTACACCAGGCTCAATTGGTGGAATTACGGCGCTGAATGAGTTCGAGCATCTATCCTAGGTTACATTATCAGAAAAAAACAAAAACAAAAACAAAAAAACACCGCTGAGTAAAAGGATAAGGATAGGGAGCGAAACGAAGCAAGCCGTAACACACCGACACGACGCTCCCGGTCGAGGCAGCCCCACAAGGCAGAGTAATCGCTTTTTACTTTCTACTTAAAAGTATTCGTTTTTTCTTTACTTTTTTATACAAAAGCATTTGGAAATAATCAGTTTCTAAATGATTTCTGTTTGAAGACCCATTCAGGCCCACTCCTTTGAACTTATTCGAGGTCTCAACGGCCCAGACAACAGTCACGAGTGCGATCTGTGTTCGCCAGCCGAGAGATGTCAGGAGACAGAGCAGTGGCCGTTATACATACAGGTATCGGGGTCATGCATACCTAAACTACGGCACACGTTTGCGTGCATCGCCCACCCGCCTGTCCCAACCGGTGGGGCCGGTTCATTATCGGAACGGCCAGACGCCTCAGTTGCCTGGCGATTACGGGGCCACATTCATGCTCACTTTGATTCCGTTCGGCGAAAACAAGGCGCGCGGTTGCGGCCGCTCCTGTTTAACTATACGCCGTCGGAGTGCCGGGTAGCCGATCAGCAAAACAATGAGGAGGCCATATCATTATCCGATAACGAAGTTAAACGAACACCAGGATCGCCGACGGCACGAATACCACCCGTAATCGTTTTACTAAGCTGCGCAGCTGTTACGACGGGAGCGCCGAGTCGTTAGACGCATATTTGCACTTCGCCCAGAGGGCTGGTCTGTTTACATCTCCATATTTATATCTCATTCTATAACTATAGAGCGAGCGATCCCGAACTCTGTAATGCGAGCTAAACTGAGCAGTGAATGCACGGACGAAGAGAACGAACCCAAACTATGTTTCCGCTGCTAATCCACCGGTCGTATTCCCATGCACTGCACTTTAGTAGCGGACCGAGCGCGTCAGGCAACGCAGGACACTACAAATCTGGTTACCGATAGACGTCGTTCACATAAAGAGCGTTTAAAGCGACAATTTAACCAACTCAACAGACAGTGGGAAGTTTTATTCCACTGGTTGTTTTGGAGCGCCACTATCAGTAGGCCAGATCCGAGATAGAACACAGGATTCGAGCGGAGTCGCTCCGCCTCCAGATCCCCAGTTGAACATGACCACTCCTCCGGGATCGGCGGATGCTTTCCCGTGATTCCACCTTCCCGAGAATCCCATTCCCGCGGGTCAGGATCTTGAAGCACGCGTTTTCGCAATCGCGGCGCGAACAACACGTCTTAAACGCAAGAACGAAGTTAATCATGATGTGGAAGACGCGTGTTGATAAACGATGCGCACCAGCTTAGCCCACTTGCTCCTTATTGGAAAACTCGTGAATGCTGTTCAAGTATACGCCTCGATTTTTGGCCTCTTCTGCGGAGGTCCGAAAGGGCAGTCGAATTCCTGCTGGACATACAAGTAATCCTCGTCCTCGCTATTACTCTAGCCGCTGCTGCTGGAAAAGTTGCTCGAACAACTTGACGACGAACTGTCATCGACACTTCACGAGTGGCCATTACGAATTCTTCCGAGGCGAGATGCCCGGCAAGAAAGGAAGTCACGTGTGCGCACCAAGGGCTGGCCACGCTGGCTTCCGGTCGAATCTGCCGAAACAGAGACTTTTCTCGGATCCCGATCAAGGTCCGGAGTGGGAGCTCATCCAAAACGACGAGTAGAACACGTCTGTCTCTATCCCAATCAGTGAAATAGGCGCGCCCCAGAAAAGTCGATCCCGGCGCGCTCCAAAACGACCAGTGGAGTTCGCCATTGGAATAGGGGGCCCCAACACTTTTGGTGTCCCAAACAGCTTTAAAACTCCCTACTGTTTGTTAAAAACAAAAACAAAAAAACAAGCGCGCGATGGTCCACGCCGGCCGGGGGGGGGGGGGGGGGGGGGGGAGGGGGAAAGGGGGGGGGGGGGGGACTTCGCATACGTTGAATACAGAAATACGAGAAGTCAACCATTTGTGCTTGCGACGTCAGCCTGACCACGCCTGCGGTATGACGTCGGAGGAGAGCGTTTGTCTACATAGTAGATATACGTTAAAAAAGTTAAAAATAGTTGGGATATTCACCCCTATGCTACACGAGTGAAACCAGGTCATAAGGCAACCAAACGTTCGCGTTGTGCTCGCAGTCATAGTATTGCTTGATCATAGTATTTCTTTACAAGCGAATACAACCAAGACGACAACTTACAGTGCAGCCTGCCGCACGGCACGTATTGAGACCACTGCGGTGCCGGCGCTCCGGGTTTCCATATATAATCGCGATCATAAGTGAGTGCGAGACCAAAACGAAAGTAAAGCACCACAAAGTTTTCCCATCGCTTGCAAAGCAGCGGCAGCGTGCGTTAAAAAAATGCGACGGGGCCGTCCACCCAACCACCGAGCACCATGCAACACGAGGCGCGCGTGCCCAACGCGTGTACACCCAAGCACACTTGGAAGACAACAGAGGGCCACTCACTTTCTCCTTTTTGGTCTTGAGCTGATCGCACTTCCGCATCTTGCAGATCTGGTGACTGCGCACACTCCTGCACGGCCCGCACTCTCCGCAGTTATCCTTCTTGAGGCAACCAGGGCACTCGCCGCAGCGTTTGCGTTTCTTCTTGGTGCCCTTCTCCATGCCGTCCGGGGTGCCGGGCTGCTGCTGCTGTTGCTGCTGCTGCTGGGGCGGCCCGCCCTGGTGGTGGTGGTGAGGCGGCTGCTGCTGCGGCTGCTGGTGGTGCATCACCAGGCCGTTCCTGGCCATGGGCGGCTGGTCTCCCCAGGGCTCCTGGAGCGGCACCATGGGCAGCAGCGTGTGCCTAGTCGTGGTGGACGACACGGAGGGCACCTGGAAGGACGGCTCTTCGGCGTTGCCCTTGTCGGGCGCAAAGAACACCGCGTGGTGCGGGGGGAAGTCGGCGAAGGGATGATGCTGCATCGGACTGCCGAACTGGGACGCCGGGTGCTGCGCCGCCATCTTGTCTACGGGGGTGGGCATCCGGTCGCTAGACTGAGAGCTGTCCTGGGACTGGAGCCCCGGCGAGCCGCTCTTGTCGGCGCCGCCGTTGCTGAAGGGCCGGTCCTTGGGCGGCGAGCTGGGGGGCCTCTCGTAGCCCTCCTGCTCCCAGGGCCGGTAGCCCACGTTGCCCGCGGGCGTGCCCGACCGCGGGGACCCGTCGCTGCTACTCGTCTTGTCGAGCAGGCGCGCGCTGAGGCCCTCCTCCTTGCCGCCGTTGGCCGGCTCGTCTGGCTCCCGCGCCGGGAACCCGAGGCCCGGGAACGGGAAGGAAGGCGGCAGGGTCACCTTGTTGAACTGGCCCACCGGGTCGAAGGAGCCGAAGTGGGGTCCCTGCGGCGCAAACTCCTGGGGCAGGATCGGGTAGGGCGGCGGCGGCCCCCCGGCCACCATCCAGCCGTCCTGGGCCAGGAGGGTCGGGGGGCCCGGCCCCGCGGGTCCCTGGGCGCCGGGCTCGAAGGGGCTGCCTCCGTGCAGGGGCTGCCTCTCGCTCATGGCCAGGCCACGCACATCTGCGCACACGGAAGACGCCGTTTAGCAAAGAGACCGCGACAGCTCATATCCTGGTACAGTCAAGTCTCCCAAATGAACCAAGATATGAACGCAGTCTCAAAAATTGCCATCGTAATCAGCTCAATATACACCGGATACATGTAAAGGCTACCTGCCTCCATCTTGGAAGTGTTAATAGAGCACAAGTAACTACGTCGCTTCAATTGTTTTCTTTTTGTGCCCGCAAAAGCTACTTGCCCGATGAAAGGTGTCCGTCAAGCGTATCCTTATGTTGACCCTAGTAATGGGTTCAAGTTATTATATTTTCTATCACACATCTCTCATGTGATCTGCTTTCCAAGACCTTCAGCTGTTGGTGGTTACGCACCTCCCGAACTTCAAATATACATTACTTATAAACAATCCGTTATCTGCAAAGAGCTCACGCTTCGACAAATACACCCAAAACACACCATTCGCGCATTACCGCCGCCACAACATCTATATTGGCACTGGCTGGAAATCGTGCTCGAAATACCTGAGAAGATAAGAAACTTTACGCTTCGCAGCCCGCATTTTATCGTGCGCTTTAATCTCACGCTTAAGTTCGCGAAACGATGAATTTACATTACTTAACCATAAACAGTACTGGTGTTTTGAGACCGACGCGAAGAGACGGCCACCGGTTTCAGGTTACTTTCCTCCCCTTCTAGAGTTGACAATTTATCAATAACATTCCACACCGTTCCCGCCTAAAGACTGAGGAACGACTAAAGAAGCCACGTACTGCGACCACTGGAATGGCCGTGACGCCTCCTCTCAACTACGCAGCAGAAGCAAGGCTCCGGTCAACATCTGCTCGCTCGTCGCAGAACGAAACCCGACTGGTGAGTCCCGATGGAGAAAGCAGAGCGAAATCACCCCATGACCGGCAACTTTGCGCAGCTACATGTTGCTAACGATCTACGAAACGGACCGCCAATGTAAAACAGCATCTGGCCAGAACGCGCGCAAGCTGGAAACTGGTTTCCCATTGTTCACGCACGCGAAATCTGGCGTGTAACCAGCACGTGCAGCTGACATGGCGGACAATGAGAAAAGAAATTAAAATCCGGTTTCTTGCCGAGGCTAGCGAAACGCTTCGGAACAGCTATTATTCAATGTTCAACGTCGCAAATGAGAGGATGTCAGTCCGTTCGCGTTCGCCAGTCTCGTGGCTTTCTACTGACAACCCGTACTTATTGTGAAACCGACGCTCCACAAGCCGCGCGCTTAGCAGCAAAACCGGCAGAGGGACGACGGGAGCATAGCGCCCATAACATGACGAAATCCACCGGTGCATTTGGAGCGGTTTGATAAGCACTTCGCGCTCGCGCTTTTAGGACGTAATAGATAGTTTTCGTCGACCCATTTCGAAATTCCGCGACGCTATCGGCGACGACGACGGCGACGCTGCGTAAGCGCGCAGCTATAGCGTTGTCTTCACAGAGATGTGTTAGGCCATAGCGGAGATTGGTTATCTTTTTTGTTTTTCTCCACACTGCCTCTATCTCGTTATGTGACGTCATCGGGAGTAGAGCCGCGCTATTTTCCGAGCCAATCACGAGTCGAAAAGAGCACGAGCGCGCATAATGCAAGCCGGTCGCGAATCTGCGATCTGTTGACGAACGTGGTGGTGCCGGAGCTGAACAGTCGACACGACGGACAAAAGTTGTTATTCTTAGTAGTGGCTCGATTCCCTATACCGTTAATCTGGATGAGCATCGTATACTGGCGTGTTTGCGTGTACTCAGCACTGCGTTAAGCTACGGTTAATACATCGATCAAGAGACAGTCATGCAGGCACCGTCTGAGGCACGCTTCTTCCTCGTATACGAAGGCCCGGTCATATCGATCATACAAAGCTGTCTGCAGAGATGTCCGAAGCATACATGTAATACATGTAAAGCGAATGTGCTTGAAACCAGCTTAAGGCGTATACCCAGCTAATATTGGCATCGCGTCTGCAGCTAAAACCGTGTTGCTGTTTTTTTTGTTTTGTTTTCTTACGAAATACGAGCAGCGGGGCTACGGCTTTATGCGTGTCAAAGACTCCAGGGTGGCGGTAGTATAATGCCCCGGCCAAATCGCTCGTCCACAGGAGAGACACCGTACGTCCCTTGAGGCGGACTATCTTCCTGCTGTCTAGATATTCGTGTAACAGATTTGAGCTTGACTGAACAGTGATACGCCGTGGTCACGTGTCGGGATAGTACGGTAGTTGCAACCCGGAAGAAAATACCTCTTCGCGCGTCTTGTGATGCAGTAGCCGCCGCTTCGCGGCAGCTGGAACAGGGCTTCCCCTTTGTTGAGATAGTTTTCACTGGTGCATTTTGAACGTTCGAAACCTCGTATATTGGAAACGTATTAATGTTCGTGCTCTACTTGTGTGTGACTCGTGCATTCTGTTTGCAAAGCTTTCCGACGGATGCGTATTTTCACGAGTTTCTATCTCGAGAAAGGTGAGGTGGTTAGTGTAGATTCCTCGAACATTTACTTCGTCCATGTCATTCGGGGATCATGCCTGTGTTGTGGGTTTGATGTATAGCGACATGCTAACTCGAGCTTTGGATGCGCGGGATGATACAAAGAAGATAATGAAAAACTTTCCAAAATTATTTTATAAGGACTCAAATACACAGCGAAAATAGTTCACGTTAACAGTGACCAGAAAATACCACGCAACCTCAATGGGGCAATGTTGCCTCAGTCAGGCAATGTTGCCTCAATGCCCGAGAGGTGTCTGGGAGGTCATTGGAGTTTATTGAGGCAGGCAGACAAAGAGGGCGCGAAACAAGGACAAGACTGGGCGAAGCTGTGTGCCCATCAGGGGCCCTAAGTTGGACACCCGACGTGAAAGTCGGCGAGATCGCCTGCCGCCGACATTGGCCGGGGCCGCGCTGCGATTGCTTTGCGCTGAGATCAGGCGGAGTGCTGGCCCATTGCTTCGGTCGGCGATCTCGCCTACTGTCTCGTCGACTCTTCAACTTAGAGACCCAGTCATGGCTGTCGCTAGTTCGCTTTCAAGGAAATATCAGTGATTTATTTGTGTTTTTTAAAGCTTTTTAGTCTCATCGTTGCTTCATACCAAGAGGCCAGCCGAATCATGGGTGTAGTTAAGATGGCCAAAGTAAATCGGGTCTTGTTTCCAAGTAGACATCATCAACGTCTTAATGATGCAATATATCCGGGCATGCGCAGGGTGGAGGGGGGGCTCGGCGACACCGGCGTCGGCGCAGACTTACCGCGAACCCCGGAACGCATCAGCGAGCAGCCCCGCGCCAGAGTGAAGCTGTTGGCGCACAGGGGAGGGCTCGAAAAGTCGGGCCGGTACAGGGACCGCTGCTGACGGGAGTCCGCCGAGCACAGCGAGTGAGGGGTCGTCCGCAGAGGGGGGAGAAGGGTGCAGGGTGCCCAGGTTAGTCGGGTGCGGAAGACAGGGTGTGAGCATGGCAAGTGGAGTGACCAGAAGGCGGCAACCGCGGGCGCGTTTAATGTCACTAGTTACGAACAGCTCTTCTCTCCATCTCGACTGAACAATGACAGCGTAGTACACGAAAACCGGGCGTTTAAGACTATTCCTGATAGTGACAACCCGAAGCAGGCAATGAGCTTTTTAAAAGTTATATAAGTTATATTTTGCCTATTAACGTTTTATTTTTTTTGTCGTAGTATATTTGTGTACCCTTTGGTGATATTAAAAATTATTTTAATGCCTCGCACGATTTGGTGGGAAAAGAAATTAGATTGTCGTCTAAAGCCGCAATCCCATTGTTGATACATGGTACAAAAGACAGGGTTATGCGGGGAGAAAGTCGTCTGCATCTTGAGCAGGAGTTGCCGTGACGTCAGAATGACACCGAGCTCTGATTGGCTTGAATTGAAGGATAGTGGGTAGAAGTCAAAGCGAGCTGCCTCGAGGCCTACCCAAGCAGCACAGAGTTGGCCAGTCATCGGCCAATGGCTGGCAACGGTCCTTGGCCAACTGGCCAGAGAGTGGCCAGAGACTGGCCGGTGACTGGCCGTTGTCTGGCCATTGGCCAATGGCCACTGGCTATCAGCCATCGGCCAAGCATTGGCCAATGAATAGCCACTCTCTGGCCACTGGCCAAAATACCATCGCCAGACATTGGCCATTGCTTGGCCAAAATCCGTGCTGCTTGGGTACCCACTATCCATCCAGTCAGAGCCAATCAAAGCCCGTCGTTCTGACGTCACCACAACCCCTGCAAAAGAAGCAGACGAACTTGTGTTCCGCATTCGTTGCAGACGTGACGAGAGAAATTAACTGAGGAGAGGCCTCAAGAATGTCCCAAGCGTATGCGCTTCATTCATACATACGCTTCAGACATGTCAGCAGACGGTCTTTTGTGCTATGAATTAGCAGCGTGATGGCGGCTCGAGAGAAAGAGGATACGGTGCTCTGCTTTGCTCGAGCATCTATGCACAAAGAGTCGTGTGCCGATATCACTCAGCCCACACGTGCATTTTTGTTTTTAACAGCGTCTCAATTTGCAGCGGCAAGCGCTGCAAGTCCCAGAGGGCCGATGAAAAGAAAGCTGACACGAAACATTTCGCCAGCACGGTTGCAAGCATGCACAGGCACAACAGACAAACTTGCGTAGAGGTAGCAGCACGAGAAAGCAATGCAGGCCAGAAGCAGGCAGACGTGAACCAAGGAGAGACAAAGAAAGCAAGAAGAAGGCCCACCACCACCACCACCACCATCCACGCTTCACAACCGAGACAACAAATGACGATGAAATGTTGTCCGCACTGGATTTGTTTTCGACACATTCCTTCTTGTAATACGCAAATCGTCGACTATACACCAATATCAACAAATGTTGCGTTCACCCGAGGTCGAAGAAAAGACACTGCGCCTTATACGCAAGTTTACCCCCTAACTTTATCCCTGTTCCTTCGAGTGCCCTTCGTACGGTTGCCCTGTGCTGAAGAGAGTTCAGGATATCCACAGAGA